GCTGCGCCGATCTTCACGTCAACATGCAAGATGCTGCCGGTGACCGCACCCTAGCTGGCGAACTCCTGCGCAAAGACCCAACATCATGGGCGCAATGGACCGGCAAGAACGCCGAGAGCGGGACACACGAACTGGGCAAAGACAAGAAAGTTGGATGGGACGATATCGAGGATGTACATGAACAGCTGGGCAAGGCGCGGAAGAGCAAGTTCAGCAAGACACCGCGCGTGCGCGGACAGACTGACAGCTGCCGCATCTACGGCAGTATCATTGGAAATAAGGTGCAAGGCGACTTCCACATCACGGCTAGGGGCCACGGATACATGGAGTTTGGAGAGCATCTGGACCATTCCAGTAAGTCCAAAGAATCAAGAATCAAGAACCACGAAGATAACATTTGCTAACATCTATCAGCTTTCAACTTTTCGCATATTATCCGCGAAATGTCCTTCGGCCCATACTACCCATCCCTCGTCAACCCGCTCGACAACACCATCGCCGTAACACCCACACCCCAAGACAAATTCTACAAATTTCAGTACTACGTCTCAATTGTGCCAACCATCTACACCGACGACGCATCCATGATCCCCTACCTCACATCCAGCACATCGGAAGAAGACACGCCCTTCTCAAACATGTTCCACACCACCCACGCCATCAAGACCAACCAATACGCCGTTACATCGCAGTCCCATAAGGTCGCTGAAACCTACGTACCGGGTATCTTCGTCAAGTTCGATATCGAGCCTATTCTGCTGGCGGTGGTGGAGGAGTGGGGTGGCTTCTGGAGGCTGATTGTTAGGCTGGTGAATGTTGTCAGTGGTGTTATGGTTGCGGGGAGTTGGGCGTGGCAGATGTTTGATTGGGCGAGTGAGGTTATGGGGAGGAGGCGGAGGAGGGGTGATGGTGTGGGTGTGTTGGGGACGCCGTCGGTGGAGAAGAAGAGCTGGGATTAGATGATGGGTTGGGGTGTTGATAGAGGGGAGGATGCATCCAATGGCGTTTAGGTTATGGGGAATGGGTTTCATCTTGGGAATTTTGTGAGTAAAGTAACCTCCTTTCTACGAATTTATAAGTGCTGCATACCGTGGAATATCTGTATTCGCAGAATGGCTCGTGGCGAATATATGATCTTGAGATTGCGGGACTGCGCGATTGCGCTATGGTACGTGTTGTTTTTCGTGCCTTACAATCCGCCCCCCTTGCGTAGCTGACGCTTCTGCATAGAACCCTGGAAGCAGCGCGTACTTTAACCCGTACGATCAGCTCCATCAAATGAGAAGTATCGCCAGTTCAGGAAGTAGCGCGCACTTCGACAAACGCTCCCGCCGACCTCTCTCCCACCTTCTCCCTCTTTCATTCGTTGCTTGGCGGCTTGTGCTACAAGGCGCTAGGCTGTATCTCACTTGCTCTTGCACCACCTTCGTCGGTCTTTGATTGTTTACCTCCCCACAAATTATTGATAAACGGCCACATCACTATCTAATCTCTACCCTCTTTGGCAGAGCGTTCTACCACCACATACTGACGAGCGAACGAACGCACCAAAAACTATCGTTATCGCAGTTCAACTCGACTTGACTACACCGCGACTATGGCGTCGCCAACTCCACCGCAAGATCAAGGCGATTCGCGAGATGAAACTGAGGAGGAGCGAAATGATCGGATAAGGGAGGACCTCCGGGCTAGAATGTTAGTAATATCCATGTACAAACTATATGTGAGACAAATACTGACTTCGTACACTCATCTTTAGGCCTGCTATGGCTGGTCTTGACCGTCGTGGGGAATTGTCGGTTTCGGAAGCAGATGCCGGCGAGATACAGCAACGTTCACAACAAGATACTAGGCTTCGGAATAGCTCGCGCCTGATTCGTGCAAGGGACGCTTACGAGGCTCGCCGCGTTCTCGGTAGTCAGACTGCGCGCGTCGCTCCCAGTAATCCGACACTCACTGAAACAGACGGTCAAGGAGCCGCCACTACACCGCGCCCAGATTCACCTCGACCTGCGCCACGGTACAGGCGGATAGGTCCAACAGAGAACACCAATGAGCTACACGTTCCTCAGAATCGACCTGCCACAGAGCGAACTAGATGGTCAGACCCAGCCTTGGAGTCGCGTCTAGCGTCAGTCAGTCGTATTCAGAACATATTGAACCCTGAGCCAGCTGAGACTCCCCGGCCTAAAAGCCATATGCCCACTCTGCGGTCTCAACCAGAGTTCTACATGACCGGAGTCATAGCCGTCGATACCACCGCGGAGCCTCTCCCTGACAACGCGGAATGTACGATTTGTCTCGAACCTCTCTCAGACGACGTGGTCAAGTTCCACGCTTGCGGCCACATGTTTCATACCGTCTGTGTACAGAGCTGGTTCGATCAGAGCGCACCGCGTACGGGTGCGAAGCGAGGTACTTGCCCAAACTGTCGACATGAGCTGTACGAGCCAGATCCGCAATTTCGACGTTCACATGCGCAGCGAACTCCTCGTGCAGAGCCGGCGCATGCACATATGCCTGCGCCACTACGTCTTACTACAGGGGACGTAGTGGATGTGATGCATCCGGCGCTACCTCGCACTGGAGTGACTCCACCGACGGATGCTCCCCGACTTCCTGTTAGTTCCGAACGTGAATCCCGTCTCGCGCAGTTCGTGGCTGATCACCGAGAACGTGTGCGGGCGCATGACCAGCAAGAGCAGCAGGCTGGCAATGCTCCAGCCCCAGCTCTAGATCGAAGGTCTGTAAGCGTCACTCGAGTACCTCATGTCGCTCCCGGATCTCACTTACCTGGATACGCGCCTCATCGCATTGAGTCATCGGAGAGCCCCCGAGGCGGCACGATGGAACGAGATTTGCCTACTGTCTGGCTTCCTCCAGGTGACCCTAACCCTCCTAACGCGGCATATGGTAATCGGCAGCCAATTAGTCAGAACCAAATGCTTGAACATCAGCAGATGTTAAATCAACAGCGACAGAATGCATCCAACAACTCGCGATTCCAAACACTTGCTCGTTCGGCGGCCGGTATAGCAATGACTGATGCATTGCGCCGGCCTAATACATCCGCTAGAGAACCAGAAACTGGACATAGACCGTCAGATGTAGCGGAGCCGGACGAACATTCTGATGCCGATGATATTCCCTTTCCAACATTCATCCCGGAACGACCTCCAACATCAACATTTCAATCTAACGGACTCTCGAATCAACCACGCGAGTCTCGAGTCGATCTAGCAGCACGTGCTATCGCGGAGCGTCGCCCCCTGTCAGAAGTACCAGGCCTCAACACCGGATTTGCAGCTATCCCACCTCTTTCGCCACAAGAGGCTGCACGACTTGTCAGAATCCGCGAGTTACCAGGGTCAGGGCTTGACCTAGCTACGCGCACTACTGATCAACTCCGAGACGAGCAGGTCATGTTGTTGGATCGTCTCCGTGCGGTACAAACACAGATAGGCCGAAATCTAGAAGCATCTGGAGAGCGTGCAATGAACGCCGCTGAGCGAAGGGAACAGATACGAGCGATGGCCTGGAATAACCCACAAACTGCACATCTATACGGTGGGCCGGCGCCTGGGCCACAGGATAACACTGCGCATCGGCCGCCGCCAATTGCGATTCCTCGACTTGCCGACCCATCGGTTACTGACCTACGATCATCTCGCGAGCCTCCTGATCCAAGAGCTATAGGCACAGGAAATACTATATGGTCGACAGACTATCCGCCACCGTCAGATACGCGGTATATACTCAACCGCTATCCGGCTTCGGATGGATCGTTAGGGTCATCAGATTATGTATATCCTTCCCCTCCAGGTTTCCACCGCGACGTCTCAAGGGTCCATAGCCCACTCTTTCCTTTCTCTCCAGACGGCCCCCGCACCGCCATGAACAGCAACATGCTTCACGGACGAAACTTCAACGATGAACGATTTACGTTGCCTGAGTTGCCCGCTTTGACTACACGCTCTGATACCGTAGCCGCTGCTCAGCCTGCTTCTGAAGGCAACCAGAACGCAGCCGCGGAAGATACAAGGTCAGTACAACATCCACGTCGCGTATCTAGTACCGTCGTGAGGCACATGCATGATGACTCACTACCCCTCAGGGACACATCAATAGATCCTACTGCCTTCAGGCAACATCCCCCGGGGCGTCCCAGGCCATCTTCTATTCTTCAGCGAGCACAAGAGGCCACTGCATCAGATACACAGCGCTTTCGTTCTCGTGAAGCACGGTCTGAATCGCCCCAAGAAGATGACAATAGAACCGATGTCCCTGAGGCATCAAGCTAGACTTGTTACGTTGAGACATCAGGCATGGTAGAAAGAGGAGAATGATGAGCGCGGTTTGGGCGATTTGGGTACGATTGAAGCTTGAGCGCGTTCGAAGAGACAATGCATAAGACCCCTTGAGCTTTGAAGTGGGGTGAAAAGAGAATGTTCATCATGCAGCTAGTATTAATGATGGGTCGTTGGCTATCAGTGTTTGGCTTACCTCAACGGGGTCATCAACGGTTTGATGTAGACATCGAACAAATACAATAGAAATCATTGATCAAATGTCTTGTTTATCAGCCCTGGCTCCTGATTAACGTCGCGAGTGAAGGCCTGAGGACGCGAAAGCCCAGATCATCGTGACAGATATTTCACCCAAGACCGAAGAAGAAGCAGTGAAAGTGGTAGGTCATTGATCTTGCCTATAGGATTCTACATTGTGAATGTCTATTTGCCACACTGTCCAGCCACAGTACAATCTGTTTCACAGCCTTAAGAAGAGCAGCCCAAAGTATATGCTCCCGCCAACTTTTAACAAAGTCCAACACATAAATCCCTCCACTCACACTCGACTCTCCAGCCCCACCGATAGTTCCAACCAGCACAGCCGTGAACATGGACTCCTACGTCGGGCGTAGAATTCCGGAGCCTAGCGATACATCATCGTCTTCTAATGAGCGTGCTGTCCCACAGACCAACAGCACACCGCCGTCTAACATGCCCGCTCTCCGCAGCCAAGGAGAGTTCTTCATGACCGGAATCGTACCAGCAGGTCCCCAGCCCGAAGAGTCAGACTGCTCAATCTGCGCCGAACACCTCGCCGAGGACGTGGTACGAATAGCTCGCCCATGCGGCCACATGTTCCACGCTGTCTGCCTACTTACCTGGCTCCAAGGCGATGGACGACGAAACCGTACTTGTCCTAACTGCCGCTGTGAGCTATATGCGGCGCCAGCTCCAGCACCATCGAGCTATGCTCGCACCCGAGAAGGTATCATGGAGCGGAGAATGCAGGCAGAACGCCAGGCCTTCAGGCGTGCAGGAAGAGTTGAGGAAGGTGACCTAAGATTGGCTCAGCTCGCTTTGGGACGACAGACTGCAGCGACCCGCACATCGGTTCATACGGAACCGGTAAACTTTGATCGTCGCAACAACCGTTCTACAAATACACCAGAGTCCATCAGGGGATGGGCAAGGCGAACCCAAGCTGAGATGTCTAGACAGATGACTCCGGAAGATAGGGAACTCATGCGAAGGCTGAGACAGACTGCTCAGGAACGAGAGCAGGAACGAGAGGATGAAGAGGCCCGCGCAGCGCTTGATAGGCTACCGCCCGGTTCAGAACGTGTCTTATTCCAGTCTGTGGGCACACCAAATGCTCCCTGGAGAAGTAGTATGGAGGAGGCTCTTGAAGATGGTGCCCTTGTGCGTCCCAGAGAAAATAGGAGGAACACTATGCAAAGAATGTCACAGATGGTTGCGGATGGAGAAGCCCCAGAAATCGAAGAGCTAATTCGTAGGCAACCGGCTTACCACGCCTTAGGTGGTGAGCCAGCAGCCAGCTCCGCCAATCAGACGAGGGCATCGGGAAGAGCAGAAGCAAGGGCTACACTGCAATCCACGCATGACTTAGCGGTGGCTGAAATGAGACAACTGGAAGCAGCGCGTCTTCAAGATGGGCTCCTACACGACAGTGCCGAAGCAGTAGCACTCGAGCGAAACTTGGCAGATCTGAATCGAATCAGGCGCGACAGCATACAGCAAATTCAACAGTTTGATAGACGAGCCGCAGAGGAAGACCGTTCGTCAGATGATTCGATTCCCAGTATCAGGGAGCGCAGACGCCAACGCATGGCAGCTAGACGGGCTGCTGGAGAGGATAGCTCGTCAGATGATTCGAGTCCTAGTATCAGGACACGTCAACGCCGACGCATGGCAGCTAGACGGGCTGCTGGAGAGGATAGCTCGTCAGATGATTCGAGTCCTAGTATCAGGACACGCCGACGCCGACGCATGTCAGCTAGACAGGCTGCTGGTGAAGACAGCTCGTCGGATGCCTCGTCAGATGTCCCCAGCATCAGGATGACACGCATTGAAGCTATGGCGAACCTACGAGCCGCTGAAGAAGCCAGATCTCCACATAATTCGAACCTCAGCAGCCGACTTGCTAGTGCCGCTGCGGATTTGGATTTAAGCAGAGCGAGGACAGCACGAATAGAGCAAGACATCCAGACACTGCTAGATGGAGCCTCAAGGGGACACACCAGCCAGACGCCAGAATCCTCAGCAACCAACAACATTCCTCCACAACCTACGCAGTCTGCGGCTCGAGGTCTTTCAAATGGGAGAACCATATACCCGGATCCGCCGCGAAACACCACCGAACCTATCGCCCCAGCACGCGATATCGCGCCGAGTAGGTTAGCACGAGCCCGTCGTGTCGCATTGCTGGCCGGTCGTGGCGACGATGTTCCAGAAGAAGAGATCGCCGAGTATTATGGCTTTCCTGGTCTGACTCAGTTGCAAGATGAAGCCACTTTTACACGCATGTCGAACTTGGCGCGCATGCGCGTTCGCGCTCAAGCTGCTGCTGAGATGGCCACTGTGGACATGATGAATGAACAGGATGATGAGATTCGAAACTTGTTTTGGCCTGGAAGGCAAGCCAATGACAACAATTGATGATGTAGCTTGTTCGACGTATTGATGCGTTGTCGGTTTTCTTTTGCTCTTTAGATGGATCCTTGGGTATATAGCTTGCCTCGACTGAATAACTCTTTCCCTTGTATACTACTCACCAGTATTGTTTTGTTCCTCCCGTGATGCTCCTCCTGTCTACTTCAACACCCACTCTCTTTCCCCCTCTTTTACATCCACAACATCACGTTCGTTTTTAATCCACTTTGCCTCCCCGAACGGCCGCACAACAGCCAATACCTTCGCCTTGACCAACGCCAACGGCAGCGGTCCAAACAGTCTACTATCCCTACTCCACTCCAGATTATCCCCTTGTACCCAACAATGTCCTTCTGGCACTCTTATGACCTCTTCCCTTACGCTCGCCCATTTCCCCTCATGATCCACAGCGTGCACATCGTCTTCCCCGCGACCGGGCGTGACTATGCTGACGAAGTCGCCCGGCATCCCAATGATGCGCTTACACCCGCTCTGTTTGGGAAATATGGGATGATTATAGGTTATGATGTCACCAACGCGGAGGTTGCGACCGCGACGATGAAGCGACGAGTATAGTATCCACGGGTGGCCCTTATAGTGATGGGGGATCGTAGGCACCATAGAGATGCCGCTGGTGGAGGATATGCCGCCAATGTAGGAAGAGCATACGTGGAGGAAGACAAAGCCTTTTGCGACGGTGAGCGCGCTACCTACTGGGGTATTAGCAAATCGATTCGGAGCATAGTGTTGCAGGTACTTGCGGCCTAGGGTTTGGACAAAGCCGGAGCGGTTGAGGGTGCTCCATGGTGGCGGCATTACAATCGAATCCTGAGCTTTACTATCGCTCTAGCATCTTTTGTCTGTGATGGCGTGCCCGCGGCGGTCCACAATGCTGGCGCGGTGTTGTTGTTAGACCATCATCGAGGTCAAAGATGCTGACTTGTGGTGGCCTTCTTGCATGGGAAAGCGCTATCAAGTTTTCGGAAGTTCCCGTCGGAGGACTTGGCATCGTGTTAGCCGACATGCCTTCATCGTCAGTACCGATTCCGCGTCATAACAGGGATTTTGCGTCGCAATGCCCCAGGCAAAGCCACTGCATTTCACCAATCGTCTTACGTGTTGCTCTAGCTAACTCTCGTTAGTAGTTCGACACTTGGCCAAACCTAGCAAATAGCTTCATCCGGAAATTGTTACGAGATTGGAACGGGCAATTGCTTGCTCGGTTGCTTCGCAAGTATGAGGACCGAATAGTATTGGTATAAACTTATGTTTCCGGAGCTCGGTGGACTTGGCATGTAGTGCTGGCGGAGTGGTTGTATAAAATGTAGTACGAGGAAGCAGGAGGTATAGTCGCAAAAGAGCAACTGACTGAAAACATGCTTTCAACATCTCTACTATTTCTGCTCGTATCGAACGCCATCGCTGATTTCGTTGATCCGCGAGACCATCTGCTCAATCGACAACACCAAGCCTTGCAGGACTGCCTCCACGCAAAAGCCGTCCCGACTACTCTCAATTCCTCCTCAGATTGGACCTCTCTCACCACCGCATTCAACCTCCGTCTCCAGTACATCCCAGTGGCAGTGACAATACCAGAGACTCCGCAGCAAGTTTCCGATTCAATAACATGCGCAGCTGCAGCTGGCATCAAAGTTCAGCCCCGGTCTGGAGGACACTCGTACGGGAGCTACTCTCTCGGCGGCAAGAATGGTAGCTTGACGATCGATTTACAGAAGTTTAACGCGGTATCTCTGGATAAAGGCAGGTAGCTTACTCGTTTCTTCATGATCTTTGCTAACAGATCACAAGGTACTGGTATCGTTCGAGCGGGAGGCGGCGTGCGTCTCGGAAACCTCGGACTGGGTGTATACAAACAAGGTCAGGCCGCATTGCCTCACGGTACATACCCGGGCGTTGGTATAGGAGGGCACTATACGCATGGAGGCTTCGGATACTCTTCTCGTCGCTGGGGTAAGTACCGCTGTTTTGCAAATATATGTAACGACTCTAGCTAATCTTGATGTTGTTTAGGGCTTGCACTCGACACGATTGTGGCAATGGACGTCGTACTAGCCGATGGAACTCAACTTCACGTCACACGCACAACCCATCCCGAGCTCTACTACGCTCTGCGTGGAGCTGCAGATAGCATCGGTATCGTGACCACCTTCTATCTGCAGACCCAGCCTGCCCCGGCACAGATCGTCAGCTACTCCGTGAACTTCACCTCCGCGCTGAAGTCTTCATCTTCCGTCGCCGACGTCCTTCTCCAGTTGCAGAAGTTCGCCCAATCTTCTCCTCTCATGGACCGTAACATCACCCTTGAGATCTACATGAACATATTCGGCACCTTCGAAGTCCGAGGCTGGTACTTTGGCGACCGCACACACTTCTCCAGCGCCGTACTCCCCGCCATGCTTGAGGGTTTGCCCAAGGCCGACAATACAACGATCGCGACCAGAAACTGGCTCGATGCGCTGCAGGATATCGCAGAAGGCGAGCCTCTTGTTGAGCCTTTAACTGGCTATAACAACCACCAGACCTTCTACACCAAGTCCATTGTTACAAGGGAGGCAAAGCCACTTACACGGCGCGCACTGGAGAGCTTTGCTGGGTATGTCATTAGTAAGGGATTGAGCGCAGACTCCCCATGGGAGACGTATATCTCGCTGTATGGCGGGAGGGATAGCCAGATCAATGTTCCATCGCCTGACAGTGCGGCGTATTCGCATCGCGATTCGCTTTGGGTTTTTCAGGTAAACTCCTCTCCTCTCCCCTTCAGACAACACTCATCGGTCAGTATCCTCTAAGCAGCTGGCTAACCTTGTTATTGATAGAATATCGGTTCCTCGGCCAATATGCTTCCACCTTTCGAGTCTAGCATCAAAGCGTTCGTGCAAGGACTCAATACTGCTTTGACAGACGCACAGCCCGATGGCGACTTTTTGGCATACCCGAATTATCTGGATCCAGAGCTGACACCAGCGGAGGCGCATCGATTGTACTATGGTGATGCGACTTATGGAAAGCTCAGTGTGATTAAGGAATCAGTAGATCCAAACAGGGTGTTTTGGAATCCACAGGCGATTGGGAACTAAGTACTTCTTCTCTGAGTCTTTGAGTGCCTCAGCTCGGCCGCAATATCAAGCCCAATGCGAACATACTATCCCATTCTTTATCTTATAATTTCACAGTGCATAGATTATACTGTAGAAGCGCGCACTCTGTACAAGACACCAAGATCTGAGTACAACACAGACGCTAGTCCCAAAAGAGCAAGGTCTGCTGCTAGTAAGATCTTGACCCGGATAACGCATCCCACTTCACGAACTTTGCGCCATTTCACATGAGCGCGCAAACATGGGTCAGACGGAAGATGAAGGGATTGGACTGAAACGTCCAGAGCAGGCCGCTTTCCGGTGAGTGGCTCATCAACGAAATGATTGCACAGTTCCTTACTGATTATGTGTGAAGGCCTGCACCAACTGGTCTCGATGCGGAAGGAACATTGCAAGATGCTGTAAGAGGTGCTTCCATTTCCTCTTCATACTATGCATCATGCATTTACTTCCATGAGATTTTCATTAGGATGTATACGCCCAAATTGTGCGACTGTTTCTCCATGCCATTGTCATTCTTTACGTCTTTTCTCTCAAAACTCTCGAAAACATCACTGTCACATGGAGCTATTCCATGTGTGCTAACCCTTCGCGGCGCGTTTATCACCTACCGATACTAAACCTCCATACAGACCTAATAACATCCTACCACGACCTCAATCCCTCGACAATCGACACTCTCACCACTGAACCCTCACCCCTCCAATTCATGCGCCACGTCGCCCGCAACCGCCCCTTCATCGTCCGCAACGGAGCCAAAGACTTCAAAGCCAGAAGAATATGGAACGCCTCGTATTTAAAAACCGTGATGCAAGGCCAGAACGTCAACGTAGCAATCACCCCGCACGGAAACGCCGACTCAGTCGTCTCCCTCCCGTCAGATGGCGCGACATTCGTCAAACCGTATGAGACCGAAGAACCCTTTGAAGACGTCCTCAACAAGATCCAACGCCAAGAGCAAGAAAACGACTACACCGGTCCAACACGCTACGCGCAAACCCAAAACGACAATCTACGTAACGAGTACTCCACGCTCTTCGCCGACGTACCCAAGAGCATACCCTTCGCGCGTATAGCCCTTGAGCAAGAACCGGACGCCATCAACTTCTGGCTTGGAAACTCGTATTCCACGACTGCTCTGCACAAAGACAATTACGAGAACATTTACGTGCAGATACTGGGGCGGAAGCATTTCGTTCTCTTGCCGCCTGTAGAAGCGGGTTGTGTTAATGAGAAGAGCGTGCTGGCTGCGACTTACAATCCGAAACGGGAGGATAGCGCTTCTTCTAGCGCGCTAGAGAAAGGTGATCTGGTTATCAAGGTCGATGAGCCGGAAGAGTACGTACCCTTCGCGACATGGGATCCGGACCAGCCTACCACGAATACTACACCTTATTCCCAATACTCGCAGCCACTCCGAGTCACGCTGGAAGAAGGCGACATGCTATACCTACCCGCACTATGGTACCACAAAGTAAGCCAGAGCTGCAACGAAGAAGGGATCTGTTGCGCAGTAAACTACTGGTACGATCTCGACTTCAGCGGCGGGTTTTGGAGTACTGCGAATTTCGTTCGGAGCGCCGGGCTACTGAGCATGGGAGACAAGACTGTAGTACAGGGACAAGACGAGAGATGATCATAGTGTGTATATCAACAAAAGAAACAAACTGTACTACGATTAGGGGTATCTCTAGGATCTACAGTGACAATCAAGTCCAACGCCATGCCAATGCTTCTCTAACTCTCATCTTCGTCTACTGTCAATGCTTGATCTTGACTTTAATCCCTACGCCCCTGGCGCTCTGCCATACACTGTCGCTAACTTTGACGGGCAACTTCCGTCCTTTGAGTCTCTGGTCTATTAACCACAAACCCACGACGAACTCA